ACCTTATTGCTTTCTACATCTACCCGAAAAAAGGTTGGAGCAAGTCAGTCTCTTTTCCCAGGTAAGAAGTGGTAGGACAAGAGGAAATGGCCTCAAGTTACACCAGGGAAGGTTTAGATTGGAGATCAGGAAAAATTTCTTCACTGAAAGGGTTGTCAAGCACTGGAACAGGCTGCCTAGGGAAGTGGTTGCCCCACCATCTCTGAAGGTATTTAAAAGACCTGTACATGTGGCACTTAGGGACATGGTTTAGTTGTGGACTTGGCAGTGTTAGGTTTACGGTTGGACTCGATGATCTTATGGGTCTTTCCAACCTGAATGATTCTATGATTCTACTTTCTTCTGGCATCTGTAAAGAACTCAGTATAATTAGAGTCAGTACACACAGAGTCAGCTATGGCATAGAAGAGACAATACAGAAAGAGGTAAAAAGAAGAGGTACCTCACAAACTTTTAAGAGCTCTCTGCAGAACAGCTGTGCAGAAGGTAACTCAGCTAACAAAGTGCACTTGGATTTTCACATAGTTCTCAAGAAGGGGTCTTACAGGAAGGAACATACCATAATGATAAAAGGCGTGGAGGAAGAGACATCACCCTGGACAATGGACCCTAAATCCACCATCACTGCACAGGAAACAGGTTGTTACAGTAGACAGCCTCATGAATATATTAGGTCAATTTTCAGGAAGCAGCGATGTAACAAAGAAATAGATTATCAATGATTATGAAAGTAATAGATGACTTAATAAAACCAAACAGAATTATGCCACTATAAACATATGCTGCATCTGTGCTGTTACGGCTTCCTAAACTCAAAAGCACTACAACAGAAGGGCACTGAAAGAGGAAACAAGAACAATAAAACCTGTGGAATCATGTGTACACAAGAAAGAATTAGACTGGGACTCTCATCCGGGGCGGGGGGCACGAAGGATAGCAGAGAAGAGGCACAGAAGAGATACATAAAATGAAGACTGGCATTCAAGAAGGTAGGAAATGATGGCTCACCTCTCTAACACAAGGTCTAGCAAGCATCAAGTTATCAGGCAGCTAGTCCGAAACAAGAGTTTTGCATAATTAAGCATTACTACAGAACACTGTAGAAGCCAAAGGTCTACGTGGGTTCAAAAACCAACCAGATAAAGCTGTAGGAAAACAGGGTGACAGGGGAAACACTGAAGATACCATCTGTCTCAGCTGGCCCTAAAATGCAAGACTGCTGACAGCTGGGAGGGTCATACAGAAGGAGTTATCACTGCATATTTGTCCTGTCCTTACTTTCTTCTCAGGCAAATGGATCACTGTCAGACACTAGTCTTTGGTCTGACTTAGTGGAGTCATTATCAGATTACATTAGAAGCCAAATCTGTGGAGTCAACAGAACATGATTTGGGAAACTGCTGGTTCTTTAAGTTTTTAGAAGGAAGCAGTTTTCTTGCTCACCAGCGTGTTTTTAATTACTCTCGTAAACCCTGGACTATCCACACTCCCAGACATTCACAATAAAGTTTTTGTATTACTGCTTCACTGACAAAAACTGAAAATTATCCAAATCTTATTATAAGACTTGGAGAGACAGCTACCAACTGAAGAGAATTCATGCTATAAACCACTCTTAAAAAGTAATCTAAAATAAAGATTGTTTTCTGCCTTTACTGAGACTAACATTTCAGTGTCTGTTAAGCTTATAGAAAAGTTGATCATGCACAAGAGTGACTTGCGTATTTAGCATAATGCACTCGACAGGTCTTGATTCTAGAGACGCTCGGAAGACCAATTTCAGTTGAAGGCACTACTACTCAGCTTTTCTAAAAAGTACTTCTGCAATACACAGCTTTAGATGTCTACTGATGTTACACATGTTCGATGGTCACCCAGTGCCAGTACTCTTTTTTTTTTTTTTTAAACATAAATGCTACTGAGTACTGAAATTTAAATCTTTAATTTGCTCATAATCTCAAACTACTTAAATACTGGGACAAAGAAAAAATAGTGTTTTCAAACTATTCTGAAATAGTTCACAGTTAAAAAAAACAAAAAACAGAAGAAATAAAAAAAGCTTTCCAACCTTTAATGAACTTGCTGTAATTTTAAGTTCTACACACCACTGAAATATAAATCAAAACAGAGTAACACTCTGAAGCCTAGCACTGTTTGTAGCTACAAATGGAGACTATTCAGAAATCAATATTCCGCACAGCACAATACACCTCCAGTTCCCTTACACTGCTCCAATACAAAACAGCCAAAGAAAAACCCTCTGCAACAAAATAGATTTAAATTCTGAAGCGCACTATTGCCGTAGTTGTACAGCATCCTGAAACATGCTTTCAATGAATTTAGTTAGTAACTTGTCATAAACTACACTTCGTATTCCTAAACTACCAAATTTTGCCGATTTCTTAACTCTTAAATACAAAAGTAGACACGGAAGAGGAAGCTTAATATTTTGACAGACAATTTGAGATAGCTGGGCATGTGGGAACAAGACGCAAGATAATTCACACAAATTTTGGAAAAGGACATTAAGCTAGAAACTTCTGTTAAAAATAGCCAGTGATATAACACCGATGTTAATGCCCTACTATCATTATCTGTTTTCAAGGACAGCAGCAAAATGAGTTGAGCAGCATAGTTTGCTCGTACTTCCCAGAACAACTGTTTCATACTCAGACACATGTAGATCCATTAATATGAAATTCATTTGAGTAAACATTTCACACAAGAATAACAGTACTTTTTTTTCATCCCATAAAAAGTTTAGACTACTAAAAGCTACAGTCCAGTTATCTAACAGGAGGTGGACCACATAGTCCTCTGAGACCACAGGCTTCAGCAGACATAAGGCTCTAATTAAAGTGATCTGCACATAAAACCTTCAATCATTAACACAAGTTAAAGGTAACACTTATGTTCCCATGTAATTTTTAGAGGACTGTCTTGGGGAACAGTAAGCAAGTACATAGCATGGGAGTGGTAAGCAACTACATAGCATAAAACTAATCACTGAAAAGATATTCCTGGAACCTTTAAAAAATCCCAACCACCGCCTAGAAATCAGTGATTGCATGACAAATAAATATTTACAAGTTAATATAAAATCATTTAAATTCCAACAACAGCAATAAGATGCCTACCAATATATTATATTTAGCCCAGAAAGCTTTCAACATGTTCTACTTCAGCTGCTAGGGGAGGAAAAGGGGGGGGGAAGTAAAAAGCATCTTTTACTTTTTGGTTTTAAGAAAGTTGTATTTCACTTACCAGTTCCTATATAGGATTTAAAGCGTCCTGATAGTCTGTCGACAAAGGCACCTAAAACATCTAATCCCAGTAATGCTACCTGTTGAAACAAAAGCATTAGATATACAAAACAGATCACTAAAAAATTCTTTAGAATATATTTTAAGGAAATCAGATACATATATGCAAGCATGCTGAAAGTCTGTATCTTAACCTAAAGACAAATTAAAGTTCCAATTAGAGAGCTGACAATGCCTTGAAAGCTTTCATTACAACAAAATTATCAGAATATGTTTGGAATGGATCAAGTATATTTACATATACCAGAGAAGTTCAGATTTTTCAGTACTTGTTGTAAAACAGAAAGAAAATAAGTATTAGAAATCCAATGTTTTAGTATTTTCAACTAGAAATTATTAAAATTCAAATTAATAATTATGAGGACTAAGGAGTTGGAAGAAGCTCTTTTTTTTTTTTCCCTCTCTGGATCATATATTAAGACTGCAGTTCTGTCCCTCATTTTCTTTAAAAGATTACTCTAGAGGTCTAACTCAGTATTAACTGAAAATCAAAATTCCTTTGAAACAGGTACCAGTAAGGCTTTAGGCCTTACTTCCTCTACCAGGTTTCTAAGCTGATGAAAGAAACAAAACAGAATGCCTTAGTAACAACAACAAAAACACACACAAAAAAAGGAGGGGGGTGGGGTGGGGTGCAGTTACCAGAATCAGAAAAAGCAAACAACTTAAAATGCAAAACTAACTAAGCCCCCAAACATAAGTACTAATACAGACTGGAAAAAAAACATGACTTAAACAGTTTCCCAGATGCTAAGAGCTTACTTCAATCTGGCTACTTAGCTCATCCACTAAGGTCATTACATCGTTTTCCAAACTCCCAAAAGAAAACAATTGAGAGAAGTTAATACCGTCTTCCCTAGCAGTTCAGACCACACCATTTGTCCACCTGCTTGTTAAGCAACTTCTAGGGAAGTTTTATTTCTCTTCATTTGCTCTTGTACAAAAAAAAAAAAAAAATCAGAAAACAAAAGGAAGTTCAAAATACTACTGGGACTGTGAGGAAGTTCCCATGTATGAACAGAAACTAGATGAGAGGACAAGATCCACTAATATAGAAACAAAAACATGATCAGAAATGATCAGTTAAACTAAATTATTTTAACAACTCGGGACACTTTTTTTCACCCTTAACTATGCTGCATACTGTTCCAGGACTTCATTCTTAATTTCCTATAATAGTTCATTACGAACACCTGCATTTTCACACCTTGTAGTTAACTCAGTTTGCTGCCCATGAAGGTGCAAATGCCAAAGGAAGGACCTCCTGAAGCTTGGACATTCATAACAGTTTTTCCTCCTCTTTATTTTCTAGTAAGACACGTACCGCGAATTTTTCCCCAAGAAGATATGAGCAGAATTACTCCCCTCTATTAGCTATTTATTGTTATAAAACTTGGAACCACATTTTCTTGGACAACTCGGTTTCCTTAAGATCCTTATCTGTCACAATTGTCCACACTACACAACAGGCCAAAAAAAATTTGACTGGAGGTGAATGTGAATACACATGGCCCACGCACACAGGATCACATGAGCCTTGTTTCCTCAGGAAACTAGACAAATAAGGTCCCCATACCATCTAGGATCTGAAGCAACTGCATAATTAAGCAGATTTTAATAAACTCAGTATTGGTATAATAGATCTCCTTTTAAACAGGAGGTACAAAACTTAGGTCCAAGTTAGTACAACTTACTTGGAAATTTACAGAATTTTATTACATCCTAAAACAGAGAATAGCAAACATAAGTGGATGGCATCACTGGCTTCAATTAATATATTGCTAACAAATGACTGCATCTACAGCTTTGTATGAGAAAACAAAATACTGTAATTGATAACTTAAACAAAAAAATATAAGTCAGCTTTTATGGTAATGTAAAGGCTTCCCAAAAGCTCTTTCCTTTAATGCTCTTTTTCAGATTGTTAAACTATATGAGACCCGAGACAAAATCTCAATCTAAAAAGTGATGCCTGAAAGAAATAAGAAATTCATTCTGGATATACATTGTTTTCCTATGCTTCTGTTTCCTGACTACAAGCCCCACCTTAGACTTGCCTTCCCGTGACAACTTTTAAGATACCTTTCCCGTGCAAGTATTTTGGGGTCTATTAATGCACAAACTGCAGCCTTTTGTAAAGGTATTTACAGAGAGTCTCTCTCTTCTCCACTCATTTGATTATCTTTCCAAAAATCTCTCTTGAAGACTTCTACCATTCTGAACAACAGCAGCTCAGAGATTTAAAAAAGTAAAGCACGCATGGCTGTTTTTTACTACAGATCTACTCTTTACTAATCCCAAAGAAGAGTTCTCAGTAAGATGGAGAGTATTTCATGATTAATTCATCCAGTGCTTAGCCTCTAGGGTTTGGAGGGGTTTTCAAGGGATTTTTTTGCCCTTTTTTTTGGTTGGTTGGTTGGTTTTGATTGGGGGGGACGGGGATTGTTTGTTTTTAAAATCTCACCTGGGTAAAAACAGTGGCCATACAGAATATTTGAACCTCCATATACCTAACGGTCAGAGGCTTGATAACTACTAAAGAAATGGTTATTTATCCTACCATGACTGTTATTGCCAACAAAGAATCTGATCATTTGCATTTCATTTGTGTAAGAGTATTTTACTTTGATCAAGAGCACCCACTGAGATAATGCCTGCATATTCCGTATTTTTGTATCCCTCCCTGTGAATGGGTAAAGTTTAATCACCTCTTACGATGCAAGTCACATTTATCTTGATTAACCATTCAAGCAGTTGTCAATATGGTGTTGGCTCTTTGTAACTGTCTATCAAAGATTTGCTTAATGAATGCAGTAAGGGGTTCTACCTCAATAACTAGTGTACAAAATCCACTTCAGTAAATACTATAAGTTTAAATATCCTGATGAGTAGTTTTGTCTTGTGATGTCCTTATTGTATTAAAATACATAGTTCAGACTGCACAGGATGAAATAAAGCTTTCAAAAGTTACCTTTCTAAGTCAGAGTACAATATGAGAGTAACCCTAGCTTTAAGAAATGCAAAAGTAACAAACACTGCTGTGAAATTCTCATTTTTTAACAGCTACTAAATAAGAACCTTTACAGATAAGAGGTAAGGGAACAGGTTACTACGGTCTTAAAGGAGTAATCCTCTATCTACAACATGATGGTTATTCTTCAGATCATACAAAGTCCTCTATGGTCTGCAACTTTGAAAAGATAACAGGTATGAAATGTCATGATATTTGCAGAGTAAGTATGTGACCTCAGGCTGAAAGTAATGGGAAACTGCTCTCGCTACAAAATTGGCTCTCATTCCACATTTCAAAACAAGTCAGCCGAAGTATACCACTACAGAGTATACCAAATAAACTACCTCCCAGTGTTTTTGTAAATTGGTCTTAACATTTCTCTGCTTTGACACACAATGTTCTGAGTTTCAGCATCTCATGGTAGGTATCATCCATGCAGAATTCAAGCAGCCTTTTGGAAGAAGTCCTTAACAATTGATAGAAAATCACATGAGCAGCATTAAAAAAAATTAAAAAAAAAAATCACAAGTCAAGGCAGATCTGATCTGCAAGAAAAAGGTTCCAAGCTCTCAGACACTGTGTGGGACCATGTACCAACGCAGGCTCCCCACTAACAGAAAAACCTCTCACCAGCATCATGGCTCTTTCCCCACTAGCTTCAATGAGGGATGTATTTCTTCTGGGATTAAAATCATTGGATCTGTTTCTTGCTCTGCATTCATTAAGCCTTTTGTGTGCTGCCTAGAAAAAGCCTTTGTATATTGAGACTGATTCATCATCTCACTATTGTTTGATGCATTTAAACATTGCTTTTGAGGTTCACAATGAAAAAGAAATTTAGGAACTGGAGTTGCTTAGTTGTTGAGCTATTCTTTAACAAGCCAGTGTTCAGGACCATCCTTGACTTCTCAGATCACAACAAAATTGCCAACCCAACTGAAATATTTTATCTGTTCCGGAAAGGACCAGACTCTAGTGAAATCAAGATGTCCCAACCAAAATGTGATCATGAATTGAACCACTGATTAAGAATTGAGCCTATTTCTTGCTCTGCAGCTTGTTCCTTTTCCAGCTCTCCTTCTACACAGACTGTAGAGCACTGCCACTGCTCTTCTGTGGGCAACTTCTAGGCATTTAAGTCTTTGCTAGGAAAAGAAATACTGTTTTTCAAACCATACCTGGTTAGCCATGCACACTTACAATTATTCTCACTGTCATTCTATAATTTCCCATCTCTGTGGGGGACATCTAGGGGCAGGACACTACTAGAAAACCATCTCTAGTTACCTAAGTTGCCAAATGACCTTAATGTGAATGTCCTTGGATTTGGTCATAGGATCTCTGAACTGTACATGGAAATACAGATTCTGCAGATCTAGTCATGAGAATCTAACGGAGGAATTATGGAGGTCACTATCTGGAACCCCGAAAGAATGAAGTTAAGGCATTGGACTTCCTGTCACCATGGGGACAGCTGTGGTATCACTAACAATCAACAGACAAACACAAAACAGCATGCCAAACAACTACGCCCTGCAAGAACAAGCATTGTTCCAGCACTGCAATGCTGGAACAAGGCATATGCAAGAACATAATGAGGTTTTTTTTTGTTTAAGTATTGTCAGCCAAGCCCAAAGGTGTACTTTCTCAATTCTCAAATAATCTCAAGCACCTTCCAAGCAGCTAAACATGACTCAAAAACATGTATATATGTGCAGTCTCTTCTGCTTCACTTCTTGAAGTTTCTTATTCCTAGTTCTCTTTACTCATCTCCTTAAATACACTTCTCTCCTATTTCACAGCATACTCAATCACTTTTTGCTCCCTTTACTGTCTCCCACTCCAATTCTCTCCACATCACCCACTTCGCTGAGATCTACCAATATTCCATTCCCTCCCTTAACCCAAAAGCTTGCAAATACCAAAAACTGCCCCTGGCTCCATGGGCAGAAGGAAGCTTCCATTTTCCTGGGTCGTTTCTTCAACCCAGGTGGTTCTTCAGTCCCA